TTTCTTTGTCTTCACGCGCAAATGCTGGTCATTCTCCGCGCTACGTGGCGGCGACTCTTTCCATAGCTCTGGGTCTTCTTTCTATCCATCTTTCCCATCACTGGAGCTTGTCCTGTGCACTCTGGCTGCCTTGCTCTCCAAACACCCTGGGCTTCAAGTCCCCAATCCAGTCATCCTCCGATCTCCTGCTGGTGCTGAGCCAGGAACTGTCTGCCAGCAGTGAGCCCAGGCAATGGGAGGGCTCACCCTGTCGGATTTTCCTCTCTCAGGCGTTGCTGTTCTTGGCCACCTCATTTCTAGTATGACAGAAAACGGTCGTTTCATGTATTCTGTCACAGGAAACGGTCATTTCATGTATTTTGTCAGATTCTTTTTCCTTGGGAGTAAGGGGGGAAGGGAGTTTCAGGCAGGAGAGAGTGTCTCGGATTTCTGTTACTCCTCTTTTGCCAGAAGCTGAAGGTATCTTTGTGCGTGCTTAGTTTTAACTTCTATGAGAGGTATGACGACCTGTACTCCACTGTGTCTTTCCAACTCAGTGACAGGCCCTTTTCCCTACTCTTACTTGGCACAACGTGCATTTCGTGATCTATCGGGGATTCTAATGACAGGAGAGGGGAGATTTGAGAGAATGGCACGCCAGACATTGCCCACGAGTCACTCCAATTGCTTATGGTTGGCAGCTAAACTGCCAAGCTGCTTAAAAGTCTTCCGATAACTTTTGAGTGTTTTTTTGTGGTGATCTAGCGGACGGGCTGCAGAGAAGACTGGCTGGAGTAATCCCTTTTGCTTTGTGCTGGCAGCTTATCCAGGAGGCGGGGCACAGTCTCTGGCCCCAGACATTCAGTCATCTTCTTTCTGTTTATCAACAGGCATTTTGGCTTCGCTGAAATGACCATCTTCCCGACCCTACAAGGGAAGCTGATAACTGTCTCTCTGTTAGTCTTGCTCAGTGTTTATTTCTGCCAACCTTATCGCACTTGAGACAAGACTCTGGAGCCACAGAATCCTGCACAAGAGGAGACATGTTATGCACGCCTGGTCCCTTAGAGCGCCCATGGAACTTCATGAGGAAAGTGGGACTCACTGACTGACACGCTGCATATTGGTTTCTGACATATCTGCCCCACTCGTGCCTCCTGTATCGACCTGTGTCCATGTGTCTGGCTTTGTCTCTTCGTGGCTCCCCCGAGTCGGCACCCCCCCACCCCCCAGTCTTGCTGACTTTGTGCTCCTGCACTTCAGCTTTCTGGGTTTGCCTTCAGCTCTGTGAACCGAGTCCAAAAGGCGGAGGCACTGGTACCCTCCAGGTGGAGAGGTCCTTCCAGTGCACATGGTGCCCTGTGGACTTTGCCAGAATCCAGACAGACTCCTGATTCTAAATTAGCTCTCAGAGTACATGTTCTGAAGCATGCAGCCTTTGCAAAACTTTTCACACTTCCTATTATTGGAATGACTCTTAAGCATCTGAAGTCAACTCAAGTTCTTGATCTCTCTCAGAAGCCTGCATTTAGAATTCTTTCAATTCACTGCCATTACTGGGCGCTCGCCTGGAGCCGGGCCTTGCTTGAGGTGAGCTGGTGCGTGGTGAGCAAGTCCAAGGGACGTGTTCCCTGAAGCCTGCACCTGGGGTCATGAAGGTGGGGTGGGCAGGCTGGATTACCAAGATAGAAGAGGTGTGTGTCTTTCCTGGTTGCATGGGCGGTAGGGCTGGAGGAGGCGAACAGGGAGCCAGGCAAGTGAAACATAGCAGACAAGTAGTAACCAATGGTGTTGGATCTAGAGGTTTGGAATGAAAGGTATTAGATTGAGTGTTCCTGTTCGGAGCCCTCACATGGGCCTGGGGTCTATTATTCCCAAACCTGTCCGGCCTCACGACCCCTTGCCTCTGTGGTAATGCCCCCCACCGCAGCTTCTGGAACCAGCACAGTGGGACAAAATAGGGAATATTTATAACAGATAGCTGCTTGTGCCTCCCATCATCAGACCTTTGGAAAGTATGTGCTAATTTGTGGTACCGTCACTTGGAGCATCGGTCCACAAACGACTAAAGATCGGTTACTCCATCCTAGCCAGAGAGATGGTTTCCTCATAACTGTACTCCATTCAGGCCTTCATTTGTACATGTCCAGTTGCCTGCAAATCTTTGTTGCACCTCTGCTTAAAGTTAGAGGAAAGCTTTCTGCCAAAATGCTCAAAAGTCAGTTAGTAACATTTTAAAAAGCATTCACAACGTGTATTTTCTGCAGAAACTCAGCTCGGCAGCCCCAGAACATACACAGATCCCACAGCCAGGGACACCTCACTATCCCCCAGGCTGGTTTTTAAGGGTACACATCTCTAAGTAGCTGACAGTTCCTAGCAAGAAGAACAAGATCACCTTGTAGTCTTCTCCAGTGAAGCCACAGTTTGGAGTGGGAAACCTCGTGGGCCTCGATGAGCCTTTGGACAAGTCATTGAAGCTTTCTCTGCTTCCATTTACACATTGTACAATGAGCCAGAAGGGGTGATTTCCATATGGGTTGTGCCAAGTGTAAGTGTGATCTGCAGGTAGAACAATGAACCCAAGGCCTGCGCGTTCCATAGTAAAAGCTCTGTAAGTACGAGTCGGCGTCATCATCGTCATTGTTAGTGGTGGTGGTGGTTCCAGCACTGCTATTATCACTATCTGTGTCAGCTTTACAGTTACATATTCTCTTGTAATATGAAGGAACGTTAATTATTTAAACATTTTCTAATCTGTGAGCATGAATTTGGTCCCAGTATTCTTCCCTCCTTCCTTCCTTCCTTCCTTCCTTCCTTCCTTCCTTCCTTCCTTTCTTTCTTTCTTTATTTATTTATTTTTGCACAGGAGTAGGGATTGAACCCTGGGCCTTGTGCTTACTTAAGCAGGTCCTCTAGCACTGAGCTATATCCTCTGCTGTGACCCTGGTATTTATTACTACAACTATTGCTGTTGGGCAAACATCCTGTATATTCGCTGTATTCATCTGTCACCCCCCCCCCTTTGTGTTTCTCTGAGAGAAAATTAGACAAATGCAATTGGAAGATCTAAGTATTTGCTTATTTCCAACTTTGCTAATTTCTTCCTAATTGCCCTTCAGAGAAGATGGCCCAAGCAAGTCATATTTCTAACCTTTATAGGTGCAGTTTTTTAATTTTTTTTCCTCCACTCTCTTGGCAACACTGTAGATTATTTTGCACCTCCAAATTTCGAATGTATGGATTCTGACAGTAACCTCTCTGGGGGATATTTATGTTCACCTGGGCTCTGAATATTTGATGCAACTGAAGTGGCATCCTGGGAAAGCTAAAGGTGATCGTACAGTCTACTCTCTTCACTCTGCTTTAGTCTCTCAGATGATCTGGAAGCCCAAAATGACACAGATCTAACATGCTGACTTTTGAGATGCTGCAACCGAATCATTTTTCACACCCGACTATGGGGTCTTTCTTCCCAGGCGAGTGGGAAGTTGGATGAAAGTGACTGCAGAGGCGCTAGATGAGGTGCTGACTGGTCGGTGTGTCAAGACAGTTCAGGATGCAGCAGCCACCTGCAGCGGAGGCCTCATAATCGGCAATTATTGCAATAAAAGATCGAAACGGGGAGTGTGCTCTGTTTGACTTTTAATAGATTTGGAGCCTTAAATAATGGATCTTCGTCACTGATTTCTATCACCATGAAAGGAGACGAGGTGGTGTTAGGCTTTAATGTATTTATAGCAACTTAATAACAATGGGCCAGGCTTGGTTGTGCATGGCTGTAACCCCAGCAGTTGGGAGGCTGAGGCAGAAGGATCACCACAAATTTGAGGCCAGCCTGAAGCTCGTAGCAAGACCCTGTCTCAAACAAATAAAAACCCTTCATCCCAGTGGGTATTCTGTTGCTCTTTCTAGTGGTCTGGTCTATATTTTCAGGTGGTAGTTGCGATGTACTTTTCTCTGAACCTTCCTGTTCAGTGTTATAGTGGAGGTTATAGCTGGGTGTGGGGCAAGAAGAAGGAGTAAAAGAAACCCATACTTTAAACGAAAAAGTAAAATGTGTTTGTGTGTAGATTTCTTGATCTTTAAGGAATTCCTCCATATATCAGATGCATGCAGGAAGAATGCAGCTTTCCAGATTAGTCTGCAGAAATCAGTGGCATATTTAGGCCCTGGCAATGAGCAATCCAAGGACCAAACCAACAATACCACTTATAGTACTTTTGAAAAATAAAACAGAGTGCTTAGGAATGAATTTAATGAACTTAAAAAAAGATGTAGAAACTTGTGATAACACATACAAAACCTTCTTAAAATGAACTTTAAAAAGATGGAAATGCACAGGAAGACATCTCCTCTTCATGGGTAGGAAGACTAGATATGGAAAGGATGACAGTGGACCTGCAAATGGCCTGCAGAGTCAATGCTGTGGTTATCAAATGGAGGACAGGAATGGACAAGATGATCCTTAAATCGATTTTGAAATGCCAGAGGTCCAAAACAGGCAGGCAACCAATCAATCAATGAATAAAGAAAAAGAGGGCCAGGAATATAGTTCAGTGGGAAGGGGGTCTCTGAATTTGTTCCCCAATAATGAATAAAAGAACGTGTCCCTTAAAGGCTATACATAGAATAGTTCTGAGACTGGTGCGGGGGTGGGGACAGCAATAAATTGTTGGGAAAAGAAAGGAGCCACGGATGGGATGACCCGGTGGCTAACTACAGGACTGGAATGTTCTACTGTAATGACACCTGTAGCTGTCAGAGTGTAAACAAGTTGCCCGGAGTCAGAATGTTATCTGGTGGCATACAGATTGGAAGCTTGTCTGTGAAGTCTTCTGAGCCAAGTATTTTGGGCACCCCAGTCTGCCTTTATCTCTTTTACTGTAGTTGTTCCGTGTAAGCAGTACACTTGCTTTAGAATAAAATGTCCAGATTCCTTATAAAGCTGAACGTCAGTTACCAACGTCAGTTCCTTTGGATACACAGAAAAATGTAGAAGGCAGATGATAACCAAGAGCCAGAGTTTTCTTTTTTTTATTATTACTATTTTTTGAATTGGTACCGGGATCAAACACAACCACAGGCTTGCAAGGCAGGCACTTACGCCGCTTAGCTAAATCCCCAGCCCCACAGCATTCTTTCCGATGCGTGAGCCCCTCGGGAAAACATCAGGCCTCCATTAAAGTTGCTGGAGGAAACAGTGCTCCGGCTTTCCGACTTCTGAAGATGACAGTATGACGGTGCATTCCCTGACATCCACTAATGGAGTCCGTGATCTTCAGGATTCCCATCTGTGGCCTTAGCTCCTGTATCGCTGTGTGGAGAGGAGCATTTGAAGATGCGCCATGAATCGGGATGCTTGTCAGTGTGCTTGAATTCACACTGACCAGAGAGACTGGGTTTAAGGCCAAGACTTGCGGAGTCTGAGATCTCTTATCACAGGGCAGCCACCTCTGACAGTACTTACCCACAACACTCTGCAAAGCTGTGGAGAACCTTCCCCTTCGTTTCCTTTGATCCATTCTCTGCATGCTCTTCTCTCTCTCACCTTGCCAGCCACACACACTGGTTCTCCAGCTTCTGCGAGGTGATCAGAGCCCTTGAAGAAGACCCCTGCAGGGTGCACACAGTCTGGCAAACACAAGGGGCCACCGCACTTCCCAGAAGAGTTTCCCTTGCCTAGGTGGTTCCGGAGGTCTTCTGGCTGACCCAAGACCCAGTTGTCCATCAGAGCAACCCTGAGGAGCCAGCCGGAAAGGCATTGGGCACCTGCAGGATGACAAGTTCATCGAGTTAGAACAGTGTGGGTGCCCCTGGCCTGGGAGGTCAGGAAAAGGCCAAGAGACCTCCAGACCTCCGCCTTCTCTAAGGGGTGCGGACACAATGGGTGTTGCGTTCCTGAGGGTCTGACAGAGAGTCCTTGCGAAGACACACCTCCTGGTCGTCCAGGAAGGTCCCTGAAGGTCGTTGACTGGAGAGGCACCGCCCAAGCAGAGGAGCGAGAGCAGTGCAGCCCAAGGTCCTGGAGACACCTGCCAGAGGGTGAGGGTTCTTTTCCCTCGGGGAAAAGAGTAGGTGAGGAGCATAAATGAAAACCCTACAGACTTAGGAACCTTGTAAGTGTTTTTGTTCCGCTTTCCAACACGCCATTCCCCTCACCCCACCCCGCCGGTCCGCCCCCGTCCCAGTCTCCCTCACCACCGTCTCCCCGCCCCCCCCGCCCCCCCCCCCGCCCCCCCAACGAATCAAGAGGCTGGAGGTTTGGCTGGAAGATGGGGAAGGCAGGTTGGGTTGCCTGATGAAGGTAGTAGCAGTGGGGGAAGAAGAGGAGGGTACTGACACCAGGTTCGCAGATGGCAGGTGTGGCAAAAGGTGTTCCCTGACCGGGAATCGAACCCGGGCCGCGGCGGTGAAAGCGCCGAATCCTAGCCACTAGACCACCAGGGACCTTCTAATGACTTTCTTGCGGGCGCGGATGGCTGTCTTGAAAGATCCACCTTCCTCAGGAAAGTAAGGGACCCTGGAAAGGTTTCTTCCCTCTCCACTCGCGGTGGTGGCAGGGGCTGCCCCATCTCTCGGCACCTCTCCCTTCTCCTTACCTGCGCCGTGCGCGGCGCTCCGAGGCCAGGCCCCCAGGAAACTGGCCCGTGCTCGGGCCTGATCTAGCGCGGTGGGCGCCTCAGCTCAGCACAAGCGCTCCTCTGGCGCGTGCGTCCCGTTCCCTTTGGGCTCAGAAAGCGCCGCCTTGGCTCTCGGTGGGTGAGGAGGTGAGGCGCCCAGGCCCTTTGGTTCCAGGTCTCTGACCAGGCTCGTGGGGCCCCGCAGAGAGAGGAGTCCCCGGCAGAGAGGCTGGCTCCCTTCGGTCCCGACCTTCTCAGTCAGTAGAGGCGTGGCCCGTATTCCGCGTGTCTTCCGCGGAGCTGCAGGTGCACAGTGGAGGTTGGTTTGTTTCCCTGTGTGCGTGTTGCCTGGCTGGGCTCGCAGATCAGCCTGTTGCGCAACCGTGTGCCGGGCAGGAAGAAGACAAATGGGCTCCACAGGAAACACCTTCTTGGTTTCCAGATTCATCATACCCGTCAGTTTGTAGAGATTTGGGTGATGGCTGAAAGAGGTTGAGAATTTCCGGATCTGAAGCTCAGCAACCGCGTGCTGAGATCATTTTTACTGCAGATATTCCCCTCTTGTAGAAGTTGGCAGCTCTTGGAGCCATAAGATTTTAAACCAGTACCAGAAAGACAAGGTGGGAAGCTTTTCTTTTGCTGCACTCTCAAATATCAGGAAATTGTAGATTCCTCAGCATACTAGACAAGTCAAAGAAAGACTCACAGCCTGGATTGAGACTTATGCGCCTCAGAATAGAAAATGGGCCTGGCGTGGTGGCAGGCACCTGTAATGACAGCACTGTGGGAAGTTGAAGCAGGAGCATCACAAATTCAAGTCCAGCCTGGGCGATTTAGTGGCTTAGCAAGACTGTCTCGAAATGAAATGAATGAAGTGAAGTGGAAAAAATAAAGTAGAATGAAATAAAGGCACGTATCTCAGTGCCAAGGCTCAGGATTTAGTGCTCATGCCAGAAACAAAAACGAAGAAAAGCCAGGGAACTGTTTTCCGATAACCCCCACCCAACAGACTGCCTAACCACATGTTCATTTCATGCCATCAGAAGTGGAAACTGACAGTGATGCCACTAATGGGAGAAAATCTTTGCACAGAAAGGGCTTATCGAGACAATGACTTTCTAATAACCACTCTGCTTGGTTGCTGTAAAAACCAAGGAGCTCAAAGACTGCCCCCTGAGATTCAACGGAAGAACCAAGGGAACCTCAGCCAGTGCCTCTAAAGGACTGGATCTGTACAAGGTGTAGGATTCCATGGGCTCCAATGACGTGTCTCAGATGGGCTAATGTTTAAGGATCTAGCCTTTGTCAGTCCTGCCAAGCAATAATATAGAGACAAATACTGATGTAGAGTGCTCTATAGCACTAATGAAGACAGTTACTTAGAGGCCAAGTCGCCATTGTGCAGGAGGAAGCAATGGCATTAGACTGTGCTCATCAGACCCTATGAACGCCGCCGAATCAAGATGTATCAGGAAAGAGGCAAGTTGAAGAGGAAAAAGAGACCAGAGCTCCCCAGGTTTTCCTTCCCTAGGATAAGTGGCTGGGCTGACAGCTATCGAAGAGGTTACTCTGACCTGTCTTGCCTGGGTCCTAGCGACTAGGTCACCACAGAGAGCAAGCACTGTACAGGTATTAGAGGACTTTAAGCTGTCTCAGAAGTCCAGCTGTCCAATTCAGGAGACAAAAGATGTGGAACCAGGTCCACCAAGGCCTTCTGTTGTCTGTCAGCAGCACTGCCCTTCTTAGCGGGTCACCTAAAGAGCAAGTCAGTTGTGCAGGCAGTTAATGAAGGAAGGGGCACCGATAAAATTGAGAAATACATTGTACTGTGAGTTAGTGCCGGGCAGGCAGAAGACACAGGCGCAGACGTTACTCACACAGAAGAAGCATTATACAAGTTGTACAATGTGGCACCTGCTCAGCCAGGTGGCTACAGTGTAGCAAGGTCTGTGCAAATGACCTGAACTATATGTACAGGAATGAAGACTGTAGCAGCGTTTGTGATTAGGAAAGGGTGCAACACGGCTACTTTTAAAAGCATTTGCAGAAGGGCTAAGTGGTGCCGAAACTAGGGAAGAAAGCTGCTCTTGGAAAACCATGAAGAGGTTTCGTTATGCTGATGATCTCACTAGTGGCAAGATGACTGCTGGAGCAGTCCCCAAATCCAGGCCGCCGCCCCCTTGCCCCCTTCTCCTCGCCCCCACCCCCACCCCCCAGTGTGAGGATAGGCTACTCCCGTTGGGCTCATATCACATTTGAAGAAGAGCCACTTTCCTTTTGTCCTCCAAGGTGTGGGAGGGTGGGCTCTAAAGATTTGGTACGGGACGCAGCACGTTTGTTTGTTTGTTTGTTTGTTTGTTGTCCGTGGTGCAAAGGTGACGGCCTGTTGTCGCAGAGGGATATGTCCCTTGAGCAGGTTTCCTGGTGGAATTGCTGAGGAGCAGCAGTTGGTCAAGCTGCAGAAGGCAGCTGAGCTGCCACATCAGAAAGTGTGCAAAATAGGAAGTGGCGTCCCTGGGTGGGCTCGAACCACCAACCTTTCGGTTAACAGCCGAACGCGCTAACCGATTGCGCCACAGAGACGAGCTGCGTGCTGGGTTTCGGGAGGAAGCACACATTGGCTCGGTGAGCACAAGCTGCGTTGCTAGGCCGCCGACGGCCTTTGCAGGACCCGCGTGCAAATTCGCCAGGCCAGCGAAGTCCGAGAAGCCCGGAGCGGCGAATCTCGGTGCGGGTCGGATTGGAAATGTGCGCGTGGGCGGCTTCCCGAGGCGCGAGGCAGCCGAGGGGCCTTCGGCGCTCCGGAGCCTCCGCCTCCCCGCCCGCCGCCTTCTGGGCCGCCGTGCAGCGCATTTTGCCCCGGGGACTGCAGGAGCACGCGTGGCGGGGAGGCGGGGAGGCGGGGAGGCGGGGAGGCGGGGAGGCGGGGCCGAGGCAGGAGGAAGCGGCGGAGGCCGGAGGGACCCGGGCCGGGCCGGGCCGGGCCGAGGCCGCGGATCGCGGAGACCTGCGCCTCCTCCCGAGAGGAGAAACGCTTGGTATCCAGGAAACGCCTGGAGAAGGACGAGAGCGCAGAAGGGGAGCGGGCGGGCGGAGGAGCGGGCACAGGTTCCGTGGGCTCCGAAAGCACGGCGGGACAGAAAGTTAGGCTGCCGGGACCTCGCCCGCGGGTCGCCGCGATCCTCGAGTGGCTGTTCGTGCTCGGCCTTGACGCTGCAGCAAGCCCGGCTCCCTCCGACTCACGGACCCGGCTCTCCGAGCGTGCCCTGCCTTTTCTGTCACCCGGCATCCCACCTCTCCGTCGCGGGCTGTTTCCCCGCGACTCGGTGCCGAGTTTCCCGTAGGGCCGGGGTCCTGGACCCAGTTCCTCCGGTGTCTGTGCCAAAGGCGAGATCCGCGGTGCGAGGTGCTGCCCCTGAACCTGCCGGCCGGCTCTCTTCTGCTAGGGGAACGGTGGGGCGGTCCCGGGGCTGTCGGCACCGATATCGCAAACACCCACGAGATGTTTTGAGTACAAATGAGAACTGATAGTTCACACTCTGCCGTTTCAAGGGGTTTTTGGTGGTGTTGTGGGTTTTCTCTTGTTTTTGGAGATGGATCTAGGGTCTTCACACACCGAGCTCCGTCTCCATCCGTTTTTTCTCCCCCCAAATCCATTTTATTTCAAGGATAAGAAGAAAGAGATGGAGACAGAAACGCAGACGGAGACGGACACGGAGAAGAAAAGAACAAAAAGAAATTACAACAAAATTTCAAAACACGTCTGCCAGGGGCAACAATGGTATATACATTGCACGTTATCTTCCCCAAATCATTGACCCAGAGCCCAAGACATCTGCACTCCGTTGTCCCAGCAATACGAGCACAAATCTTTCTCTTCAGTGAATTCAGAGAAATCAGCAGGATATAACTATTTTGACTATTATTTTATATACATATACGTACACAGATACATGTTTTTTATTTCAGCTTCTCACACTAATGAAACAACACGATGTTTACCCATTTGTATCTTATTTATCTCACTAATGAGTATGTTCGCAAAGGTACCCAACGTGGCACGAGATTTAGCTCAGCAGCATAAGCGCCTGCCTTGTAAGCAGGGAGTTGTGAGTTCCATCCCCGGTACTGATACCTGTGAAAGTCTCCAGTGCATGCTTACTTATCGGTGAGTTGTACTCTACGGTATAAAATGACCACATCTCTTTTATGCATTCCTCAGTCAATGAGCATTTTAGGTTGTTTCCAAGACCGGACTGTTACAAATTGTGCTGCCGTAAACATTGGTGCGCATGCATCGCTGTGGTATGATGCTTTTAATTCTTCTGGAAAGATGCCCAGAAGGGGGATAGGTGGTTTGAATGGGACCTCTAGTCCTAGTTTTCTGAGGACTCTCCACTCTGATTTCCACAATGGTTGCAGCAGCCTGCATTCCCACCCACAAAGCAGTGGGGTCCCTTTTTCCCCACAGCCCCTCCAGCATTTGTTAACTCTGGATTTCTTGATAGTAGCCATTCTTTCTGGAGAGAGGTGGAATCTCACTGTTGTTATATTTTGCATCTCTCGAATGACCAGTGATCCAACCCCCCCCCCCACATTTCCAAATCCAAGATCTCACTAAGTGTCTTCATTTCCCAGACTGAACTCAAACTCGTCATATATAAATGAAAAACAATGTTATTCCACAACTAACAATTGATTCCAGTAAGTGACTGAGGTCTAACTATAATTAATTCACAATCAAAAGTACACAGATCTTCAGTGAATGACCTGAGGAATTTTGACAAAAAGGAACCATCTCTAGGTCAAGTGACAGAAAACGCCCTTTGGCACAGAAAATCCTGGTGCTCTTTGTGGTCAATGCCCACCACACCTCCTCCAAAGCAACCACTGTCCTGGACCTAACCCCATGTCTTTTTCTTTCTCTGTTTCTTTCTTTTTAGCTATATGCCCAGCCCCTTTTTAATTTTTTCAGTTGTTTGCTTAGTCACTGAGCTATCCAGGCAGGGCTCACACTTGTGATCCTCGTGCCTCAGCCTCCTAGAATGCCAGGCACATGCACCACTGCAGCCTGCTAAGTTTTGTTTTGTGTTGTGTTTTTAGTTTTTCTGCGACTGGGTCTCGCTGCGTAATGCAGAATATAGCTCGGGCTGACCTGGTACTCTTGGGGATCCTCCCCCCTCAACCTCTCAAGTCCTGGGATTACAGGCACATGCCACCAAGCTCAGCTTGCTAACTTTTGTTTATTCCCAGATTCCCAGGCCTGGTGGCAAACACCTGTAATCCCAGCACTTGGGAGACTGAGGCAGGAGAATTACTGTGAGTTTGAGGCCAGCCTGGGTTACAATGGGAACTGAAGGGCAGCTTGAACTGCGTAGTGAAACCCTGTCTCAAAAAAGGCAAACGAAGAAACAAACAAACAAACAAACAAACAAAAACCAACCCCCAAAAACCCCAACTTTGAATACCATACATGTTCACTCAGTTATTTAAATTTTGTTTTCGTATTTTTGCTATGCATCTGTTTGCTGCTGTAGCAGTATTTTGGGATCTTTGATGACTGAGTTCCAATATGTGAATATTCTCTCACTAATGGAAAACTGGTTATGCCTAGTGACCATTAATAGCAAGGTGGCTGTAGGAGTCTCCCATGCATCTCACCGAGCCTCACATATTCATTTCTGTCAAGTCAGAGCCTCGTAATGGAACCGCTGTTTCTTGCATCAGGTATACTTTTAATTTCACATGATGCTAGCAAACAGTTTTCCAGAACGAGTGTGCCCTCCTACTCTGTGACCAGCATGGTGGATGAGTGGCATGGTGTATGTCTAGATGTTCCCTCCTCCCCCCCAAAAAAGCCTCATTTGGTCATAGGTGGGACTCTTTGTAGGGGGCTAGGTCTGGAGTATGTGATGCTGAAAGTGATTCCCGGTGTGATGCTAGGATTAAAGGTACCCCACCCTGGGTGTGAGTGCTACCCACCCTAAGGGCCGGCAGCCTGGACAGAACACAGGTGCAGTAGGATGGCCATTGTGTGTTGCTCACTCCTTGCTGCTTTGTTGCCTTCAGCCTGCTCTGCTTTCCGTGGACTGTTGCTCCTCTGTGATGCCCCTCTGCCGGGCCAACCTGCCTGGGAGCCCGCCAACTATGGACTGAAACCTCCACAGATTGTGAGCTGTAATAATCCTTTCCTCCTTTAATTTTGGGCGTGGGCATATTGACTCACCAATGAGAAAAGTAACTAAGACCATGATTAATGATTTATCGTGGTATTTGAAATTGTGTTTTCTCATTGAGTAGTGATGTTGAAAGTCCTTTCTCGTGGCCTTTGGCCATGAAGAGATCTTCTTTTGTGAAAAGATACTGTTGAAGGGTCTTGGACCCGTTCCCTTGGCTACGCACTTTTCTATTGACCTGTCACATAAACTTGTGACATTTACGGAGAAGTTGAAGATATGGATGACAGAATTTCAGTGTATCCCACTTCCAATTTCCCCCTCTTAGGTTCTTACATTAGAATATCGCATTTGTCCCAGTTAGCGCGTAAGTGCATGACTAAGTAATGTCCGTAATTTACTCAGATGTCTTTGGTTTTTATGTAGTGTTCTTAGTCACTCCCACTCCCATCAGGGATGCCCCTTTGCACCAGACACGTCACCTGTCCTTGTGCTCCTTTCTCAGACTTCCCTTGTTTTCCAGGTCAGACCTTGACAGTTCTGATCTGTACTGGTCAGGTATTTGGTAGCTTGTCCCTCAGTTGGGTTTGTCTGATAGTTTTCTCATCATTAAACTGGGATGGTGGGTTTGGGTTGGTAAAGTACCACTGTCATCACATAGTGTGACAGACACCTGTTATCAACATGATTCATCTCTGTGCACAAGGACCTGTTCATCTGCAGGAGGAAATGTTCCCCCCGCCCCGCCCCGCCCCAGGAAATGCCTGTTTTTATCCCTCTGCCATGCTGTCTGTTTGCAAGGAAGTCATTGTGTGTAGGGAATGGTACCACTCCAGGTTAAATGCAGTTCTACGTAAATTATATCAAATACTGTGCGCGGGACTTTTTCTTGCTTTCTTTTCCTCTTTTCTCTCTTGTTTCCTTGCAGTTTGAAGACATGAATATTTATTTCATAGTGAGGTTACTGCTGCTCACTGCTCCAT